AGCCACCTGCTGCTCATGGCCACTGTCTTAGGGCAGATACAGAACGTTCCTGTCACCACAGAAAGTTCTATTGGACAGCACTGGTCTGGATCTGGTAATCCACTAAGGGCTGTGATAATGTGCTATTCTAATTCTAACATTCATTTTTACATTTACTAGCTGGAAAACTTCTGTAAAGAGAAATTTCCCCATATCTACTATCTGGTTACCGGTGATACAGTTCATGTAGGAAAGGCAGGATAGAGCATAATTCTTTCCCTTTAGTGAGATTGATTTTATAAGTTAAAAATCAATAAATCATGCTTACAACAACATGCTTATGTAACTATCGTTCACTGCAGAGGCAGCTAATGAATTACGGTTGGACTTCCTTTTTTATTCAGTTTTTTCTTTTCCCTTGAGTTTCCAAATTCTCCTCCCTTTCATCACACTGTTTTACATTATCATAGTCTCAATCTTCTCCCCCAGTTTTCCATCACATTTATTTATTCTATTAAGATCTCTTTTTTTCCCTTGAGGCCTTATTCCTGGAATTCTTCCTGTTAGAACTTTTCTCTGCATTGCCCTCTGGGGTTATATATACTTTTCCCCAAATCTTATATCTTCCTTTTTCTTGGCTTATTTAATTGGCTTGCCAAATATGTCCTCCTAAAATAACTTCCTAAAAAGAATTTGTGGAAGGCAAAGTTTCTGAGCCATTCTATTTCTGAAAATATTTTTGTTCTATCTTCACTTTTGTTTGATAGTTTGATTGGACACAGAATTCTAATTATAAATTCTAGACTCCCATAAAGAAAGTTAAGGACAAGCCTCATTATTATCATTCCTCATTAATGTCAGTATCGTTCCTTGTCTTCCAGTGGCAGGGATTTCCTCCCCTGCCCTTGGGTAAAAATGATTCTCAGGGAATATTCTGCTGTTCTGTGCAGGGTTCTATCTAACTAGTTCTCAGATAGATGATGCATGTAAGTAGATATTAATTTCATGCATAACATTTCTGAAATGTTACCAAATTTGAAGGTGTAAAAATCAAACAATAGACTCTAGGACGCGGTATATACTTTAAATCAGTAATTGATGTTTCTCTCAAAGCTGGCTTCACTGGTCTGAGAACAAAGGAGTGGAAATAAGTGTGGTTCCTCTATCACCCCTAGTGATCCACTACTGAAATTTTTGCTTCCTATTCCGGCGACATTGGGTTCTGCTGAATAAGAGGTCTCAGTTCCAAGAGAGGAATAGTTCCACTAGGGGACACTGCCACGGTTCAGTTGAACTGGCAGTTGAGATTGCCACCTGGCCACTTGGGGCACCTCATGCCACAGACGGGGTTCCCTACTGGCTGGAGTGATTGATTATCCTGATTGTCAAGGAGTTGCCACTCCACAAAGGAAGTAAGGAGTATTTCTGGAATGCGGAAGATACACTGGGGCCTCTCTTAGTCCTCCTAGGTCTCGTGATTAAAGTAAACAGAAAACAAAAATACAATACAGGGAGGACTGCTGATGGCCCAGACCCTTCAGGAATGAAGATGTGGGTCACCCCACCATGCAAAGAACCATGACCAGCCTAGATGCTTACTGAGGGCAGAGGAATAGGTAGTGGAAGAAAGTAGTTATAAACACCACTTACAACCATGTGACCAGCAGCAGAAATAAAGATGGTAATAGTTATTTGCATTTCCTTCCTGTTTTGCTATAAATATATTTGTGTATATATTAACCTATATTTTTCCTTCTCCATCTCATTCCACTACCATCTAACATGTGTTAATAGTCGTTAACCTTATACCTCAGTACTGAAGTTATAGGATATCAAAGGGAGAACGTTATTCAGCTAGAAGAGGCACGAACAATGTCCAAAGATGGATAAAGGGACTTTGCATTCTGTTTTGTAGAGAGGGTTAGGTTGTTTTTGGTTGCATGAGGGATAGTTGCATCATGTTAGGTGAAAGCATGATTTTTCTATTGCATTTTTTTTCAAGTTAAATATGGTTAAAAGGGGTATATACAGATGCCCAGTTGATGAGGGACAGACTTGGGCAGCTTCGTACCGTGCCAACTTATCTAAGATGGAGCTAAATGTCTCAGAATTCCCCTCTCTGTGGTTTTGAGCTGCTGTTGGCCGCAAGAAACCTTGTGTGTGAATTTGGCAGCCAGCAGTGACACAGAAGCCTTATTTTTCACTCTCTGAAGGTTGGGGCAGGGTGCTGGGAGGTGAGCTGCTTGCCCCTTTTGTTACTGATCTGCTTGCTCACTTTGCGGGCGTAGGGCAGCAATGTCGCCAGTAGCTCCTCCAGTTCTGGGAGGATCTCCTCCTTGAGCTTTTTTGAATTCTGGACCAAGTGCATATGTGGCTCTTGGTGAAAGATACCAGCTTCTCCTGCAGATTACCTGTGACATCCAAGTTGGAGGTGGTAAGAGAGACATGGGTTCCAGTTCTCCCTCATGTTTCCTTGCTCTCGTCCACATTTAGCTTTTCTCCCCTGACTGACTTAGGGCGATTTCAGGCTCAACACTAGATGCATAGGCAATGACGACTGCTCCACTAGCTCCCACAGTCGCACAGGATCTGTCTCGTAGTGGTGCTGCTTTTCTCACTGAACCATACTCTAAAGACAGGTCGGGAGGAACATGGAAGCGCTGAGGGTTCCTATGCCAAAGGCCATTCAGTTTTCATGGGAGGAACATAGATAATTTTTTGGGTATCGAAATTCATGAATTTTATTCAAAAGAATTTCTAAGATTCTCCCTTAAAGACTACTTACTAAAACAATACCAGTTTTGTTGTTTTCTTCTTAAAGAAAAAAATAACATATATATATTCATTGTAGAAAACTCAGCAGATAGGATACTGATAACATTTTGGTGACTATCCTTCAGTCTTACTTCAATGCATATATCTATAATGCATATGTACACATAAGCACACACTATTTTTATAAAAATGGAATCACATTTACATTCTGTTTTATAACATAGACTCCCTCCCCAACAGTATATTGTGAATATTTATCTCTAGATAGTCTCCAATTCAAGAACATAATTTTTAATTACTTTACAGTGTTCTGTTGCATAGGTATCCCATGGTTTATTTAACTAAATCTCTTATTGTTAATCTCAGACTATTGTCAGTTTTTCTTAATTAATTAAAAAAAAAAACTCTGAGATGAATGTTTTTCATTAATCCTTTTAACAAATAGCTACTTTGTGCCAGGCATGTAATAGCTTTATCTCTATGCAAACCCACATGGTTAAATTTCTGCATATTTAAGCTTTTCAAGAAGTGTGTATTGTGAGAAGGAAGGCATAAACAGGGACATTGCATCAATTTAAGAATCTGCACAGACTTAACTTTATAAAATAACTAGGAGGTTCTAAACTTTTCTATAGGTCTTCTTGCAATGCAACATTTGGAGTCCCTTTTACATTTGCTTGCCTCTAGAATAAACCTGAATTTATTGATCTACCTCTATGAAGTGAAGCTTGAAAAGAATGTTCTCCATGTTCCCACTCCCTATTCTCATCACAGTGCCCCCAAATTGCCTCTACCTATACACCCTCCGTGGCGGGCCCACTGTCAGCTGGAGTAAAGCAGAATCTCAGTCCCCCCCCCCCCCCCCCAGATCTGCTGAGTCAGCATCTGCCCTTTAATGTGGTTCTCAGACACGCTAGAGTTTGAGAAGCACTGATTTAGACCCTGACGCTTCACCCACCCTCGCCCCTGGTCCTCCTCTCTGAACAACAGAGGTGAGGAGACCAGACCAGCAGAAGCAGCTGTGTCAGGGACAGGATCTGTGCCCAAGGACCCACCCAGACACTACTCACTATGCCCAAGCCCTGCCGGCACAGGAAGTCAGCCACTAAAGATAGGCTGCCTGTAGGAGACAGAAGGCCATAGGGGCCTCTGCAAGCCGCTCAGGAGGGTGAAAAAGGGTGGAACAGGAAAGGCAGGAAAGCAAGTTCTTGGATTCCAAAACCCACAGCCCGTCTAGGTGCTGCTTTTTCCCCTGCTCGGCACATAGCTTGTCGTGAGACATCCCTTTGCTGACCTCTCCTCTTTTGCATTTCCCCCTTATTGACAAGTCACCATGTAGAACTTTTCTCCGTGAATTAGAAACTCTATAAGTTGTCAGGGACTGAATGTGCCTGTTTTCCGGCGGTTTCTGGCAGTTCCCTGCTTTCCTGGTGTAGCCATGCTGAAGCCTGAGTCATCTGAAGATGGTGACAGTGCCAAAGAGCTGGGAAGCAGCTGCGGACAAGCCAGGATGGGGAGCTGGGGCTCAGGGACTGCTGGGCACCACGGCCGCTGACCTTCCTTGGGGCAGGAGAACCCCCCCAGTCTAATTGCGTGGATACAAACTGCTCCACGCTTCAGAGTCCTAATGAGTCCTTTCTGTAGCAAGTGTGTTTAGAGGCAGCCAAGAGTATAAAGCACCTCCCCACATAACTGTTGCTCAGAGTTCCGAGCAGCAGCACCTAGCTTGTGCATGTGCCAGAATTCTTTTCTTCTTTTTTTCTCTTCTTTCTCTCTCTCTTTTTTTTAAAGCTGAGAAACCACAGCATTTTCCTGGAGAGCCAAACAATATACCTCACTTTTTGTTTTAAGGACAAAAGATTTTTCTCCTGTATCCATTCACATACATTTAAACAGCCACCTGGAGAATACACCCCTGTTTGGCGTGCGTGTGTATTTGCGTTTCCCTAACATTCTGACTCACAGTGTGGAGGACAATGATTGACTTGTTCCCACTTCACATAGCCGCTACGAATGTCTCGCACAAGGGTGGGCATGTGTGCGCGCTCGGGGCGTCGCGGGCGGCGCTGGTGCGGACGGCCCGAAGAGCCGGCGGGCCGGGCGGGCGGCGCCCTTGTGACGCGCGGGGAGGGCGGGGCCGCGGCCGGGGCTGCGTGGAGATCCGCGCCGCGCGGTCGGGCGCGCCCGTCTCGGAGCGCCGCGCTCGAGCCCGGGAAGCAGGCTCCGGAGGAGGGGAGGCCGCCGCGGTGCCCGAGCGTCCCCGGAGCGGACGGCCGCCCCCGCCGAGATGCGGGGCCCGCGGCTGCTGACCGCCGCGCAGCTCGTCTGCGTGTGGACCGCCGCGCTGGCCGCCGGCCCCGGGTGAGGCGGCGCGGGGCGGGGGCGGGCGCCCCGGCGGTGCTCCGTGCCACAGTCACTTTCTCCACCTCGGACGTTCTGGAAGCGTCTCTTTGGCTGTAACTACTTTCTAGAGAGAGTCGTTTTATTTTTAGTCCACGTTGCCTCTGCATTTTTCTCAACTTTTTGCTCCCAAATAATGTGCCTTCTTCTCTCAAAGACATATGATATATTTTTTCTGAACACCGAGTCTCAAGTTTGGCATTGGCAAAGCGTGGCTGAGGTGACTGAAGTGTGGGTTCAGGGGCGGACTCGGTAGCAAGACGACGAAGGAGGCACCCCACAATGGAAAGGGCCCCACTCGTAAAGGTTTTTGTAGTTGAGCCCTAACCCCCAGCTTGGGCAGGGAAGTGCTGTTTTAGCGATTTTTATGCCCTGCTACACCTGGAAATTTCACCACTGAGAGTTTGATTTCAGATGGTGTGTTTCCATCAGTGATATTGGTTAGATGATGTTTTCTTGCGCAGATGCCCAAGCATAAAGGTTTGAATAGGAAACAGGCAAAATCCTAGTGTGTGTGTATGTGGGTGTGTAAGCCAAGAAAAAAACCACACTGGAGTGAAGTCTTGTGTAAAGACGTTTAGAGGTTTGCGCTTTATCAGTAACTTCTGCATGCTGTTTGTGGTTTATAAAATGGAAATAACACAGGCCGTCCTCTAGTGGTGCATGAATTACTGCATTAAAATTTGTTTATGGGAATTATTTTGTTTCAGTAGCATTTCAATGCAGTTGCTATAAATGGAGCAGTGGGGCAATATTAATAGGAACAGTTGCAACTGGCACATTATAGGGAGTCCATCTCACTATCTATGAATTTAAGGATCACAAAAGAATGGAGATGTGAGGATAAGAAACTTTGTTTTTCCCTTGTTGGGAACTCTTTAGGCCCAGGTTTCTGGTGACAGCCCCAGGGATCATCAGGCCTGGAGGAAATGTGACTATTGGGGTGGAGCTTCTGGGACACAGCCCCTCACAGGTCACTGTGAAAGCCCAGCTGGTCAAGATGGCAGCAAACCTCACTGTCTCTGTCCTGGAAGCAGAAGGAGTCTTTGAAAAAGGTAAGATAAACAGCATAGAGTCTTACCCTTCTGCAGTAATAATTGGAATATGTTAATAAAGCCGTGTCTTAGGGTAACAGAGAAACTTCAAATTTGCAGTGGTTTACATAATACACTTTTAATTCTTACTCGTGTCAAGACCAAAATGCTGTTCCTGGATGCTCTTCCAAGTGGAGATTCAGAGACCCAGCTTCCTTCCACTTGGTGGCTCCGTCATGGTCAACATGTGGCCTGCAGGGGAAGAGCACGGAGTTTCTCCAGTGGGCAGTTTATATGGGCTAGACCCGACGTGGCTCATATTGCTTCTGCTCCTCTTCTGATGGCCACATGTAGCTGCAGAGGAGGCTAGCACATGTAGGCCCGTGTGTGCCCAGAAGAAGAGATGGGCATAGTTAACAGTTTGACACAAAACTGTATTTATATATGGTTTATATAAACCGTATTCAACCATATTTCTTTATATTTATTGGATGCAGAGGATTTTACTAAATAGGACTGTGGGAAGGAAAAGAAGAGCTACACAATAGTTAAAATCCAGTTTTATGGAGTATTTCTTAATTTTTAAAGTAACAGGAGAAAAGAAAAATAATGTAAAAGTGGCTTGTAAAAGAAGCCATGTCTGTTTTATGTTTGGGTTCTAACCTGGCCCAGGATTAAATTGGTCAATGAATGTGTTCTTTTTCCATACTAAGGGAAAAATAATTTTGGGTGGTAAATACTTAAATACTTAAATTTTTTTTCCATTAAAATGAAAATTTATTGTATTTTTTTTCCCTAATCGAAAGAGTAACATATACTTAGTCCTTGCAACCTGGTAAACACTGGGAGTAAGGGAAATAAACCAAAATCACCTGTAATCCTCACCCAAGTAGAAACGCTGTTAACTAGAAGCACGTTTAGATATTTAGTCAGAGGCCAGAAATTGAGATATAAATTCCTATAATGTTAAGAGTTATCTTTAAAAAAGAATCATTTAAGGGCACATAGTGAAGGGTGGATGAGATTCCACAGTAGTTCATTATATAAATGTTTATCTTCTACCAGCATAGAGAAGTTAACACCTCCATGAAATGAGACAAGGTCAGAGTTTATCTACATCCATGGTTCTTTTTCTGGAAGCTGACTGGGTGGGTAAGTTTGGGCCTGGAGTCAGGAAGAAGTGATGTGGGCAGGGGCAGGAGTAATGTCAGCAAAGTGGGAGCCCTTTGTCCCTGGAGAGGAAACGTGGGTTAGTGCTTAAGATCTGAGATTGAGTTTTAGCACTAGTTGTGTGACCTTGGGCAGGTTACTTAACTGCTCTGAGCCTCAGTTTCCTCATTTGTGAAATGGGGATAATGAAAGTTACTTCCCAGGGCAGGTATAAAGTTAAAATCAGCATCTAGTGCCTAGTAGGCACTCAATGAACAGCAGCTGCTAATATTGTTAAGTAGTAGTAATAACGCTGAAGAAGAAGATGCAGGGAGTACCATTTCCTTCTTACATGGGGTCAGACCGCTGCTTTCATTATTGATCTATGATTTCTGAAAATGAGTGAATCCTGGTTTTATGATAATGGCTAAAGAAGATATTGAAATACTAAGTCACAGCAGACAATACTTAAAGGTAGTTCCACATTCATTGTTTATCCATTAAGAATGATCATTTTGGCTCTACTAGTGTGGCAGTTTTACTGCAGTGCAGAGGTCCAGAGTAACGTGGATGGTTTTGGTAAATATTTTCTCTTTGCTTGGATGTTTGCATACTCTTATTTTATTTTATTTTATTTTATTTATTTTGTGAGCCCTCAGGAAAGGGCTCCCACTTTCCTGAGCTAACATCCAATGACAATCCTCCTCTTTTTTTTGAGCAAGATTGGCCCTGGGCTAACATCTGTGCCCATCTTCCTCTGCTTTATATGGGACGCCGCCACAGCATGGCTTGACGAACAGTGGGTCGGTGCACGCCCAAGATCCGAACCTGCGAGCCCAGGCCACCGAAGTAGAGCTCGCGCACCTACCCGCTGCGCCACCGGGCTGGCCCTGCATACTCTTAGTTTAGAATTTCTCCTGCATTGTCTCTTCTGCAATCTCCTTTCTTTTTTTCTGCAAACAAATAGTACCAGCGTTGGGGATTTGTGATATTGTGGCTTGGTTTTTAACTTTATTCTTAGATTTTTCTTTTGGGAGGAGAGTCTGTCATATGCCCTTGGGAAGGCTCAAGTGCTCAAGACTGGGTCAGACGACACTATCCTGGGAGCAGAATGGATCTCTTTCCGGGGCTGTTTTTGACTCTGTTGATATACAGTTTCATTGAAAATACCCTTGCTGGGAGCACTCTCCCTCTTTCAAAGGAGAATGTTACTCTGTTATCAGAGGCTGTGAGTCATTGTTCTCAGAGCAGATGCTTCCTGTAATGTTAGGACTTAAGGATCAAGACATTTCTCCCTTCTTGTCTTCACATCCTTTGCTTTATCTGACTTCTCCAGTTGTAACAACATGTAGATAAACGAGGACTTCTAAATCAGTGGGGTCTGGATCTTCCTAGGATTCATTTTTTTTTCCTTGCCACGTAAACAAACAAATACATACATTTTAGGTCCAATTATTTCATAACTTGTTTATGAGGGCCTCCAAGAAAAGGTTGGTTTTAATAAAGATTTATCTTCTAGCAGAGGTGGGTAAGGAGGGGGACTATTTCTGAGTGGCTATTTCTAACAGTCTTGATCTTCTTAGAAATTCTTGGGGCAGGGTGGTATTTCACCATAACCAAAATGCATTTCTAGCCTAATTTTTGTCAGAAATAGTAATAGCTAGAGGATTCGAATTGTACAATACACTTTAATAAAGGCGGAAAGGTATGGCTTGACCTCAAGGAAGAGTTCATTTATTTGACAGATATGGGGAAGATTTTGTTTACATTTTTCCTTGAATCCAGCAGCATTGATTACATTACAATTAGTTTATTCATTTTTTAATATATTAATTCTACATTTATTGGGGAATCAATTATGGGCTTTTTTTTGTGTGTGTGAATAATAGCCCTTTAGAAAAAGTGTTTCTGCTAAACTTTATGGAGTTCTCTAAGGGTGTATTAATGCCTCTGTAGTGGTGAGATTCAGACATTGACGTGTACTTGTCATTATCACCCCACCACCACCATCGTCACCATCCTCACTACCACTACTACCATCATCATCGTCAACACCACCATCATCACCACCACTATCACCATCATCATTATTATCATCATCACCATTATCCTTTCTACAGTGAATAGAGCTAGGTTCATAATCTTATCTTCCATTGTATGCAGGAGTTAGTTAAGTAAGCATAATTGACAAAACATGGTAAAAATTCAGCAAGTAGTAATTCCCAGAGGAGAGGAGATGGAGCAGCTATTGGCATTTGAAATCAAGTCAGACTATATGTTGGGTGGAGAGTGAGCCTGTCCCCTTATTTCTTCCCTTCTTAGTTTTTATCTCTTCCTTTACTGTGATGTTGCCCTGGAGTTCCATGCCAAATCAAAAAAAAAGGTAAGAACATTTGAATTCACAGATCTTAAATGAGAACTGTCTTCTCATCTGTTAAGGCATATGGAGTAACGGAATTATTCTTGATGTCCTTAAAACCATCATTTCTGCTTTATTTCCCCTTCTCTTTCTACAGTTTGAAATGTTCGTTTGTAAACTTTCAGTGTTTTTCCTGAGTGAGATTTGCTTCAAATAATGAAGAATACACCCTTTTCCCCTATTAATGAATTCATTGTCACCAGTTTCACGTAAACTTGATTTAAGAAAAAAACATAAATGGAAAATGTCAGCAGCAAACTTGGGTGCTGTATGGGGTATCTCCAGGCGAGATACCCCATACTGGAGGCACTGTTCATTTATTGATGGTGCCAAGCCTACTTCCATTTTCCCACTGAGGTGTTGGGGTGAGACATACTCTATGAACGTGTCTATATCCTTTAATAACTTGCTTTTTCTTTTTGCCCTAAAATCTTGGAGAGTCAATGGGGTGTTTACCTTCTATTTTTTAAGAATTAAAAATTCTTCTTGGTCCTTTATTGTCTTTCTCTCTTTCTCACATTGACTATGGGTATTTTATTTTTCATCTTGATCCAGTAAGGGTGGGAAATCAATATTTCTTAAATTTGAGATAGCTGAAAAACTTAGAAAAAAATCATCCAGTTCAGTTTGGATGGCTTTCTGTGGAAACAAAGCTCCTGAACATATATTTCATGGCTCCTAGATCAAAATCAGTCCCACGGTCTTTATGAGAGTAGATGAATTAGTGTAGCGTGTGGGCAGATCTCCCAGGGCAGGTCTCCACAGGCAGCTTTGCCAGTAGAACTCAGTCTGAACTTGTAGTTACATGAGAATTATTTTTAAAGGGTGTGGGCTCTCCATTCATATGTCTTTGCCATTGTGTGTGATATATATATATAAATAGGTAGGTGGTGCCTGAGGAAATTGGGCCAGAGTGTAATCACGATGTGCCTGGGCTCTGTAGCCAGGCTACCTGCATGCCCTTCTTTTAGTGGTTGTGGGTTGTGGGCAGTCATGATCTCACCAGGCTTCAGTTTCATCATCTGAAGAATAGTGGTTCCTGCCTTATACAATTACATGGTCATTGTGAGGATTATATGAGGTAACATGTTTAAAGCACTTAACACATAGGAATTATTCAAGAAAATGGTAGCTATTGTTATTAGAAGAGAATAGCAACAATCATGTCAGAGATGATTATTAATGTCCTGCTGGGATGATCTTGAACTGAGAATTCTAGAAAAGGCACATCACTAGGAGGGAATGGGAAGGGATTTAATGTATTAAACATTGAGTTTCCTTGTAGTGCCAGGGACTTGATGGACAATGTTTAACTGCCGTAACCTATGAGGAAGGCACTGTTGTCTTCATTTTAAAGATGAGAAAACTGAGGCTGAGAGAGAACGGTTAATTTTCCTGAGTTAACACAGTGAATGGTAAAGCCTGAATTTGAAGTTGGTTCTGCTGGTGCTGA